AGTGAGGGCTATCCTGACAAGACAATCGCTGTCTTCTTGGGGGTAGTGGTGCGCAAGCTCAGACAGCACGTTGTGATAGAAGCTAGTGTGGATGATAGCGCTGCAAGATTGAAGTTGTACAGTGGATCTCCACGAGTCTTCACTTCAGAGGAGCTTTTCATGCCGTTTGTGATTGGCAACCCGTTTCCGAGTATTTTCTTTGAAGCCTGGAAGTGCCAAGCTTTTATGCAGAATGGAGAGCTCAATTCAACCCCAGATACTATTTTGACATCCTTCGAAGTGACAACAACACCCATAAAGCGGGAAAAAGGGAAGATTGTCAAAATTAAGTTGCCATTCGGCATGGATAAAGCCCTGCAGCGTCAGAGAGAGAAACACAAGAAAAAAAACACAGGAGTGAAGAAGAAGACAAAGACAAAGACAAAGCCGCAGCTGCAACTGACCAAAGGTTTTGGGATTGCAGTTGCAAAGCCGGCTGCAGAGACAGGTGAGACCAGTGCTGAAGAAGAGGATCCCAGTGACTCAAGCTCTGCCCTGAGTGACTTGGATCAGGATGAAGAAATTGATCCAGAGAAGGAGTCTGAACGCATGGCTCCAGTTTCAGAGATTTGCAGGTCAGAGCAGAAACAGATCAAACAACTTGCGGAGGAGATTGAAACTGCAGACCATATGAAGCAGTCTGTTGCTGAATCACTTCGCAGTGGAGCAGCTACTTCTGGCTCTTCCTTTTTTTCCCGAGAACTTGGGCTCCATGAAGGAGGTATAGCTGCATCCGCTAGATCAGTGTGTCTGCATTGCAAGTCAAACATTCCTAAAGGCAGTGTCCGGTTCTCTTGGTATTACTCGAAAGCTCGTCCGCATGGCTGGGTGCACGGGTATTGCTTGTACCAGCACGCAAAGCAGAATGAACTGATGGGTTCAACCAAAACCAAACTCAGTGAGATTCTTCGGGCCACTGCTCCAAGGGCAGCAGCAGCCGGTTCGAGCAAAGACAAGGCAGCAGTGACGACTGCAAACTCTGAGGTTTTTGCAATTGCCACGAAGGTCTTTGAGTCTTTGCCGTAGCTGCAGCAGTGGTGATCAAATATCAGGTGTAATATGCCGTATGCCGCCACATGCCGATGCCGTGTGTTGTATCTGTCTTTTGACACCTGGGCCTGGGAAACCCATCCAGAAGCAAAGACAAACTGCACATAAGACATAGTGAGTGCGTGAGATGAAAAAGCGAAGGTGTCCGAGTATCTGTTTGTTTTCTTACAGGGATTGATTCAGTGATACCCACTGACACATTGGAATTGACAATTTGTCTCAGCAGCTATAACTTAACCTATAGCCTATAGGCTGCAGATATCTCCAACCCAAACGCAAGTCGAGTGAATGAGCTTATCATTGCTTGCTTTGGATTGCGGTTGAGGCTCCAATTGACTTCATGCTCAAAGGCAAGCTGGGGAAGGAGTCCATTGGGTTGCAGCTCATTGAGGGCTACAGCCTGGAGATGGTCCATCTTGAGCAGCTTCGCTACAGTGACTGGTTGGGGGGGGTCAGTTTGTGAGTTGTCCAGCCCAATTAGTCAGAACTTAACTGACTATCTCACAGAATCTCACATCACTTATTCATTTGTTTACTAGAATCAAGACAAGTGCAAGTGTAACTGGTAGTGTTCGCTGTCAGACATCATTCTAAGAGTAGGTAGGTATATACAGTCTTGGATGGAGCACCGCAGCACCACTGTGTTTTTGAGCACATTGTGACATTGACATTGTAGGATTGCTTCAATGTTCACCTCCTGAACCTCCCAACCTCCCGAACCTCCCGGTTGAGTCTTGCTTGCCTCTCCTAAGGAGCTCTCGATTTGGACTTCCACAAACAAGGAACCGCATCTTCATTTTGATGTCTCGTGAGTTGGATCAAGGCGAAATGAAGTCACTTGCTCATCTGGTGACTGATGTGTTTCAGCGAGCCATTACTGAGAGAGCCACCATAAAGGACGTAGTGACGTATGTTCGACACGTCCGAGATGCGTTTGACATGGAACTTCACTATCCACCAGTCTCCAGGGATCCTTGGTGACATGCAAGGGTCAGTTTGCTGCCTTTTGACCTTGCCAAATGACAGAAGAGTTGGCTGGGCTGGGCTTTCCAAATGACCTGATCCAAAATGAGATTTGACCCTGTGACACCTCCAATCTTAGTTTGACTCTCCTCAACTTGTCCTTTTTGGTTGGTTCGGGGAGAGGGTGAAGCCGCTAGCCGCCTTAATCGTGAATTTCGAGGATTGTTCTGGGGGGGGTTATATATAGTTCACAGGTTTTTATATATAGTTCAGGAGTCTGACATTAGCCTCTGGGCCTCTTTGTTGAGGATTCCATTAAGTTGGTTTCGAATTGTTTTTGCTTTTGTCAGGGGCCCCTCCCGGTCATGGAAGGAACCATACAGGGTCCAGGAATGTCGCCTCGCCGAGTGAAAACAGTGTTTGCAGTTTTTGGCATTACCGATCCCAGGATGGCCGGACCTCTGCCGCCTCAAGATTGCGGATTGAGGAGCTGAAGGACTTTTGGCACGTTGGGCTGGATGCTGCTCCCTACACATCCACCCTTTCAGAAGATGTCCTTCAAAAGCTGAACCAACGTGAGCGAGATTCACTGGACATTCAGTATGCTGCGCTTTCAGTCGCTCGGTCAATCGAGCGAAGGCACAAGGATAGGGTAGAGAGAGAGAGAGAGAAAGACAGAATCAGAAGACAAACAACATATTGCGACTTAGTGTAATGGTTAAAATTAGATTGTTGTTTGACTTTGAGCTGCTTTTATACTCAGAAATCAAAGATCTTAAAGAACATGATGCGAATGATGTCGTGCACTTTATATATAGTTCGGAACCGTTCGGAACCGTTCTGAACTATATATAAGAAAAGTTTAAATATAGTTCGGAACCGTTCGGAACCGTTCTGAACTATATATACCCTCCACCACCAAATAGTTCAGAATAGTTCGGAATAGTTCGGATAGTATATATATAGTCCGGAACCGTTCGGAACCGTTCTGAACTATATATAAGAGAGAGAGTTTATATATAGTGCGGAACCGTTCGGAACCGTTCTGATCTATATATAAATTGGCCTTTGCTAGACTTATGTTACTCAAACATCGTTAGCATCGCGTCACACATCATTAAGGCTCAACCTCTATTGAAGTTCAACTCATGACCCAACATAACTGACTTGACTTGACTTGACTTTAACAAATAAATAAAATGTTAACTTTATGACTTTATGCTCATAAGAAGTTCACTAAGAAGTTTAGTTCTACTCGACTCTGACTCTCTGTCGTCTATCATGTCAAATCTCAAGGGTCAAGAGTCAAGAGTTTGGAGTTCCTGCAACTCTGTTACTGCATCCACAGGCAAACCTATGTTGAGTGAGCTATGACTTTGACAAAGTGTGTCGGGAAAGCTATATGTGATTTGCTCAAAGTATTTTGTCATATGAGTCATATGTAAAATATAACTTCTACAGGAGACTGTAACTGTACATGTAAAACTTTTGGTCTGTAGACTATGACTAGACTATGTTGCTATGCGTCCATGATTTGCCTGGAGAGCCGGAGAGCAGCTTCGGGTTCTTAAAAACTTAGACACCATCCGACAGCTGATGCTCTTGCACCTGTGTGGTTGTGACATCTGGATGAGTGAGGATGAGGAAAGGATTAGTTAATTAGCTTTGGGAGTAGGAGGATTTGAAGGACGAGGATCGGCAGTGCGGATGCGCTTAGTACAGGCTAAAGAAGCACGCAGCAACGCACTTGGTAAAGTCTAAGGAACCATGCAGCACGCAGCAGGCAGGAAGCCATCCGTTGTTGCCAGTGACCCGCATTATAGACTGACTGATAGACTGGCCCGCGGCCCGCGTTGTTGTTAGACTGTAGTATTCATGTAATATGCGCGGTGGTGTAGTAAGCAATAGACAATAGATTAGATGTGATGTGATAGATAGTGATAGTAGTGTTATGTATGAGTAAGGTATAAGGTGAGTGATGTGCGTCCGGGTTTAATGGATGATAAATAACTGAGTGAGATATATTATATATCATGTATCATATGATCATATGTTAATATTTTACGTTTTTGTTTTTTTTGTAATCGCATACAGAATCGAATCTATCGGTCGTTGGACCTCCACACTCCAGCAAACTTTTGCACGAGGGTAGGGAAAAGGACATTGTACAAGTGACGGGTTGACTCTAGACATGGTAGGGTCCAGTAGATGAGATGGGTTGGGCTTTCGTGCCAGCATTTGAGGCCTGGGGAAAGAAGCCGGAGGAGAATATGTGCACATCTGACCTGGCCCGTTCCTGGGTTAAGTCAAACAAAACGTGTTTTTGTTTCCCCTGGAGAGGTAGGTCGACTTCCATCGTTTAGGTTGCTTTTCTTTGTCAGCAACACCTGTGAGGTTCTGCACCCAGGTTTGCAAATGGAGTTGCGGGCTTTTGCAGTGCTCTCACAACAAGTGTGAAGCTGTGGGACTACAGTACACAGGAATTCTTAACGGCAGAGGACTGGTTCAGTTCAATTTCAAGAAATTCAGTTTTTGATTGAATGAGCAAACGGACCAAGTTTGTTGAACAATGCTGCAAGATTTGTTTTGCGATTTGAGATTGAGGAACTAGGAGTCAGGAGTCAGGGGTGAGTTTTTTCGAACTTTCCACTAGCGACTGCTACTGTCACTACCGTGTTCGGGCTAACACTGAGAGCGCAGGACCTGTTCACTTTGGAGGGTTTCAATATCAGCCGGATGAATTTCGGAGCTCCGGATGAGTTCAAGTACTCTGATCTCAATGTCTTGGCTGGCATTCTGGCCTGATCTGACCATGTCACAAGTGTCAGGGATCCTCAATCCAGTTTTGTTTTCACAAGATTATGAATCGCGACTCATTTTTGGACTACAATCAAATCATATCATAGAATCAGCATACATATGCGGCGCGATATGTTTTTTGATCTCAGGCAACGGATGGTCAGTACCCGTTGGAGGTGCTGCAATCTTTGCAGCAATTGCTGGCGCGCTTTTTTCCAGTGGTTCCACTGCGCAACAACCCTTCGACCTTCCCTGCCAGATGTGATGTGCCTCTTAAATGGCTTGTGAAGACAAGGGGCAAAGACGGGAAAGGGCATGATTCAGAGGTAGAACCAAATCCTCAGATTACTGGAGTGGACACTGATCCAGAAAGCAGTTCAAATGAATCCCCAGATTCCCCAGATATCACTGCGGTTTTCGAAGAGGAAGCAAATTTCTTCCAAGTCTCAAAGGACAACATGTTGCTGCGCACTGCCAACTTTTCTTGTGCAAATTGCAAGACCCCCCCTGGCAGCCGGTGACTATGTGGTGGAATGGTGCCTGCCCACTTTTGAGGATCCGACATTTGTTCATGCCCGGTGCTGCCAGGCTTTTGCTGTGGAGAAAGGCATCACGGACCAAATGGCCTTCTCACTGGCTGAGTGTCAAATGACTGCCCCTGCTTGCTTTCACATGAGGATCAATGAGTTGATTCACAAGTTGTTGGGAGAAGATCCAGTGCAGGAACATGAGTCTACCCAGGTTGTAGCTTCCCTCCACCGTCTTCCGCGCTTTGAGGAAGTTGCTGAGAAAGAAGGGGACCAGGAGGACGGGCCCCCACACGCCAAGAAGCCCAAGCTGGCTGAGACAGGTCCTGGGACCTGTGTCAAGATTCTTGATCCACACGAGCCTCGTCCTTCAAGTGCTGCGGACTACGAGGTGTTCCACCTTTCTACTGCATCTGAAGAGATGCGGACTCAGTTTTTGAATTTGCCTCCGCCTCCAGACTCCCAGCCTTTGTTTATTCATGGCTCCTCGCCCCGCGTTTTTGAAGACTATCAACACCAAAGCCGGCCAGAAGAAGAGGATTCGTCCTGGGGCACGTCGGAGTTGAATCTGGTATGGGATATGGATTCACAGCCCGTCATGGACTGATGATGCCGGAAGATTTTGACCCGCTTTTTGAAGCTACAGGCTGCAGGTCCTGTCCCTGTGCAGATTTTGAGGTTCGATGAACTGCAAGAGCAGCATGTTGCGCAGATGTAGAGCCTAGAGCCGTAGTAAGGAGCTTTTCAGGTGGGTGATGTTTTGCATTGACTGTTCTAAGCAGTTGAATGCATTAGACAGTAGCCAGTAGCCGCATTAGCAGCAAAGCCCAGCACACAGCAATTCCATTGTGTTGGCAGTGTGTGGCTTTCAGAATCTTTCAGATCATGGGGTGAGATGCAAAGACGCGTGGAGGAAAGCCACAGTCTTGTTAGTTGTCAATGTTGAGACGCTTGTTTGTGCATTGACGTTGCATGTTGCGGTTCGCGTCTCTGTTGAATTCTTTGAGGGACTCTGTCGTTTCCACATTGTGGCTTTTTCTTGAGGGTTGATTGATTCATCTTTTGCTCACGCACAAAGAGGGGCCGGGCCTCGTTTGAAAGATCAAGATCAGAGCAGCCTTCATTTCGCTTCCCTCCTTTCTGCTTGACGCATGGCAGAGATGGATGATGGTCTCAAGGATGAGGAGGCGGATGAACACATGGTCATGGATGTTGACTTGGAGATCCAAGAAGGAGTTTGTCCCGGATGTGATCAGGAGTTTGGAAACCCTGATGAGGACTTGTGGTGTGAATTTCAAAGGTAGGGTAGGTGGTAGGTGGTCGGGGGGGTGGCAGTCCTTGTCATCGCAGCAGCTACTGCAAGTAGTCTCGGGGGCAGGACGCAGATGGCGACACTTCAGTTGTGGTCACTTGTGCCAAGGGAGATAACCGAGCACTTTGCCACCGCTGCTTCTATCGGCCGTGGCAGCATGAACAAAATAAAACTCCTAGAGTTGGTCAAGTTGTTGAGGACTTGCCCACCACTTCGCAAAAAGCTTCTTAGAAGCAAAGGTGGATCAGTGGATCCACTGTAGTTGCACACCCAGCCTTCCACAGCAGCTTGTTCCTTTCTAGCTCCTACAGCCGGGGTTTGGATATGACCATCGCCGATCGCATTCATCCACTCAGGTTTCGAGCGATGCGGAAAGCTCACTTGAAAGCAGTGCTGAAGAATCCTCGAGCAAAACCAAGGCATGAGGTGTTGGATATCACCCATTACACCAAGAAACGGGAGAGTCGCTATGTGGATTTTGCTCAGGACTTTGGATATGTAATATCATATCTCTGGTTCAGAATCGGTGTTGCGCTTTCTTGTTGTTTTTGGTTTTCATGTGTTCAGACTCCCCCAAAAAACAAGTTGCACACCGGCTACCGGTATCCGTATCCACTTTGTTTCTGAAGCCACCCTGGGATCCCGGTTCATGCTAGACATTGGACCGACCTGATTGTTGCAGGACGCTGAGTGGACAGAGTTGAATGCCTATTTCAGCGAGAAGGCACCAGACGAGGTTAAGCGCAAGATCAAGACCACTGCTGCAAAGAAAAATTGGATCACCAAAGTTTCTCACAAACAGCAAACAATTTTTTTTAGTTGAGCCGAGCTGCAAATAAAGAGTTGTTCAGTTGTTCAAACTTCGATCTGTTTAGCATTGAGTGCTAAATGACCATGACCATACCATACCATACCGTATGTGACCGTCGCAGAATTGCGAGCTACATTCCTAAGGTTCTGAACCTAAAGGTGCAGCAGGCTGCTTGTCCTCTACTGGTAACGCTTTTGTTAAGTCTGGTCGGGACGCCGTGGCTTTTCCAGATTTTCAGATTTCAGTGGTTGGTTTTGAGATCCAAGGATGACCGTGGCATTGATGGAGTGATTGTGATTCCAGATGTCAACAAGAAGCGGGTGAGGATTGGCACCAAGATGTCCACTGAATCTGTCAGGCAATCTCAGCATGAGAGTGGAACTGCCAGGGATGAAGCCTATCAGAAGCAGTCCAAGAAGCTGGACCTCCAGGTCAATGAGCAGGCCTGCGGCCGGCTCATCTTTCCCTTCACGGTTCCTTCATTACCCTCTCCTATATATAATATATATATATATATTATATATATTTATATGTATTTTATTTTTATTATATTATATAATAGGCAGCGACATAGCGGCATGGTAATAGGAGGAGTCAGAAAACAGACTTATATGTACGGATTCTGATTTGGGCAAACCACATTGCCGCTTTCCACACGCAGAAAACTGAGGGTCAAGAAAACAAACAGGCAGACTGACAGACTCAGACTGACTATTAAGTTGTCCTTTTGGCTGATTGAAGGCCGAGGAAGATCAAGCCCTTGGTGGCCCACTTGAGCCTGACGAGCCGGCTGACGAAGCTGACCCACAATCTGACTCAGACTCCTCTGATGCCGGTTTTGGACTCATGAAGGATTCCAAAGCCAAATCAGCCGCCGCCCCCAAGAAAGGTGTCAAGCCCAGGCGTCAACCAGATGAAACTGAGAAGCCGCAGCCGGCTCCTGCCAGGCCCAGTCGCTCTTCGCCAGAAGAGCTTCAGCAGAAGGGCGAGGAATTGCTGATGACCTTGAGAGGATTCTCTCCAGTTGGTTTTTTCACTGGGGCACTCAAGGAGAAGGACTGGGACGGCAAGCTCAACAAAACTTTGACTTTCGTTGGCCAGTTGGAGACCTTTGACGATGAGGAGTCCAAGAATGTTGCCAAAGGCTTGCAACAGACTGCTGAAGAAATTACTGACAGAATGGAGACTCTCAAGGGTGTGAAGGGCCTTGAGTCAGGTACAGTTGTTCAGGACCTACCTACTATGTCAGCTGATGTTGTTCGGAAGCTTGGCAGTTTGCCAGCAGATTGCTTGACTGCGGTGTTGACCGAGTGTGGGCGCAAACTTCTCCAGGCCCTAAAGTTTTGACCTGACCTGACCCGACTGTCAAACCTGACCTTGGGATGTGTCACTGGGACAACTGGACTGTACTTGAATTTATGCCACTGTTCTTGGTTGTTGTTGGAGATTAGAATTTGACTTTGGTTAATTTGCAGTTGACTCTGCTCTGATTCACCGTGTGTGCAGTTGCCTCACATGGGCAGGATTCCAGTGACTTGAGCCACAGTGTGCCTGTGTTCTTCCGCTACATGAGCACAGCTTCCTCCAGGCCCACTGGATTGTGCTTGCAGACTATCAGTGAACTGGCCAAGGATGGTGGGGGGGTGCAGCCTTGATGATGCTGGGATCCTTCGCATTCAGGGGACCTTGTTCAATCATTGGGTTGACCGAGTGAAGACCATGTCAGATGAGCAAGTTGATTTGGTCTTGGGATGCATTCCTCTGCATTTGTGGGACGTGGATCTTGCAAGGCCGGGTGTCCAATGTACCAAGCACATTTTAACCCCGTGCAATGACAGTAGGAAACTATAGCTGGGTAGTGTTGATATGCGCTTCAGCTTTGCCTGACAGGCAGTGCGCAAATGACCCAAGCGCGGAGACCCTGGCTGGTAGCACTGGATTTTCCAACCGGTTGATCATTGACATCCAGAAGTTCCTGGCTGCATCCTTTGTGACAAATGAGAACGTTGAAGTCAGTGCTGAGCAAAAATCCCGTTTCAATCAGGTGATTGCTCTTGGTCCGAAGAACTCTGCGAAGATTTCACTCGTGTTCAAAGCGAATGCCAGACTCAGGACTGTGGCTCTGGTTCTGATGTGTTTTGTCCATGTGAGTCAGTCGCACTCCAAACTGGACTGGACTTGACCTGACCCTACACTAGAGTTGTAAAAGAGACATTGCGGGCATTGCATTGTTGCAGTTGCTGTCACCGTCCGTCGATGATCAGAAACCTGTTCAGGGTCCTTTGGCAGCGAATCATTTCTTGCACCAAGCGGATCATTGATGAGGCTGCGGCAGCCAACCTTGCCGCCACTTGCACTGGAGATTTGGAAAAGCTGTTGGAGGGCCTCAAGGCCTTTGCTGGCAAGGCGGATGAGGGTGTGAAGCAAAACATCTTGAAGCAGAGCAGCCTTTGCGCACGAGCCACCGACATCCTTGCGACTGCGAAAAAGTCTTCAACGGAGCAACTCTGTCAGGATGCAAAATTGTTGGAAGAAGCCATTGCCAATGTGAAGCAGGCTATGGATCAAGATTTCTATGACTGCAGCAGTTTGGTCACGCTTCTGGATGCTTGCTGGAAAGCTGACAGTGACTCTGACAAAAGGTTGAAGATTCCTCGAGACGGGTTTGAATTCGAGGTGCTCCCAACTCTGCAGAGCTTGACGATTGAAGGCGCCTGTACACCTGTTCTTTTTTTTGACAGACGTGACGTGACGTGACTCAGTCGAGAACTTTTTAGACTTGACTGACTTGACTAGACTAAATACATTCAATAAAAGGGTAGGGAGAGGCAGAGATGCTTTTGGCTATAGGCTATAGGCTGTTTTATCTTTCCCATCAGTAGATCTGGAAAACCAACTTTCTGAATTGCAATCCTTTTTGAGCAGGTGCAGTTCGTGGAATGGTTCTACGTGAGAATGAGACCAGCAACATGATCTTGGAGACTTTGGCAGGCAAGCTTCAATCCTTTGCTCAGGTGGAAAAGGACTCTCCTGACTCTTTGGGTGCATGTTGCGACCTTCAGAGACAGTTTGATTCCTTAGCTGCAAAGACCTCCAATTGGAGCTCGCCGCCAGATTGGCTTCACTCCTGCAACCTGGCAGCAAGCCGCTTTTCCGCTGTGGTCAATCAAGTGGCCTACCGCTGGGCTCTTGAAGCAGCCAAGAAGGACATTGACAAGGCTCTGGAATTTGTCACGGCGGCAGACCCACCTCCCAGCATGGCTTCTTTGCACAATTGCTGCGCGATTTTCAAGCTCAAGCCCTTCTTGAAGAGCATCAACTCCAATGTTGAGAAGACCTTTGAGTATGCAGAGCTTGGCAAACGCGTGAAGACTTTTGCCACCTTGCATTCCCTCGACCAGACTTCCCTGAAAGAGATCTTCCCTGAGATCAATTCAGACTTGGTGAAGTTTCAAGATTTGATTCAGAAGAATGTTTTGGAAATGGTGGATCGGATCAACGGCAAGATGCGAAAGGCCTCAGAGACCATGAAGAATTACAGGCAGGAGTGACGGCTTCTGACTGTAACGGTCATAACTTAACTAACTCGGCTTTTTTTGGCCTCCAGTGATGTTTCTTGGGTTCAAAGTCCAGTCTTGTTTTTTCCTGATCATCTTGACATTTTTGACAGGCAAATCATCAAGGCTTGCGAAATTTGGAACATGGATGACGTCAAGGATCTCCTGACAGATACCGACGTCATTACCAAGGACGTAGAATCTATGGTGGCATTTGTAGAGACCGCTGACTCCTATGACAGCTGGAACCGTGGGGCTTTGGCTTGCATGAAAGGACCAGCCTGGGCACAGAGGGAAGTCTATCAGGCTGTGAATGGTTCCAAGGGCCCGGTTCAGGACCAAGTGTGTGCACTGCTTTTGAATTCACTTCACTTCGACTTGATGTGACAGGCCACAGCCTTTCGCCCAAATGCCTACTCAACTCCCAAATGTTTGTTTCCATAGTCAATAGTTCATGGTTGTCACTTTCAAGATGCTCATGACTCGTGGCAGGATGTCCGCAAGGAGGCGGCAATGATTGTGGCATGCCTCTCCATTGCGACCATGATTCACAAAGGGGAGACCAGCGATGAGAGCCCGGACATGCGGTTGCGCACTTCTAGGAAGGTCAGCCTTTTCCTCAGCACAAACCTTGGCATGAGCATGCAGGATATGCCAGGACTTGTGAAACAAAAGTTTGATTCTTTCAGCAGCCCTCCGAAGACCGAGCCAAAGAAGGAGAAAGGTGGAAAGCTACTTGTCAGTCGGTGTTTGAGTTGTTACCTTGGACCTTGACCCTTGAACTGGATGCACTTATTTTAGATTGGGTCGCGTCAAATGGTCAGGGGATGTTGGGAGCACATGTCCAACAGATTGGGAGTGCTTTTAATATGATTTTGATTTGAGAGTTTTTTTTGCAACAGTCCTCCTGGACTCAGGAGTGAGAAGAACACTGAGAAGACAACAGCAGCAGCAGCAAAGAAGAAGAAGACAGACTCTTCCACCCCTTCGGCGCCGTCAAAGCGGGTGAAGAAAAGCTGAGAGTGAGGGCAGTGAGAGCTCTCAATTTTGTGAACTTTGGTTCAGTGGGGGTCAAGACATCCCATAGCCTGAACGGAGCTAGTTTGTGAAATTGATTGGCCTATTCCAGAGACATGCAAAGGCCATGACGACAAGACGGGATGTGGAAGGGAAAATAAACAGCAGCCAGTGACAGGTGTTTGCCTGTTGTGCAGTTGAGAGTTTGTTTACTGTGGTTGGGTGTGTAGTTTCTGTCAAATGCTTTGCATAGTTCAGGAGGAGTTTATATATAGTTCAGGATGAACTTATATATAGTTCAGATGAATTTATATATAGTTCAGAGCCTATGTGGGCCTCCAACAGACAAAGAGGCCCACGCACACAATAAGTTAATTGTTTCAACTTTTAGGGTTCAAGGCTCTTTTGGGACTTTTGCGTGTGTGCTTTTTATGCACGGTTCTTTGTTTGGAAGGCTTTTGAGATCTTTTGAGTCTTTGTGGTTAAGATGCTGGGGCCAGCGGTGCAAACCCACCAAATGGGTGGCAAATGGCCGCAAGGAAAGCGCACCACATGCGCAAACAAACACCGGGTGAACCACCTCAAAATGGGTTGGATGTGAGAGGGTTCTGTTTTTCTTTGAATGATTGTGGCCCTTGTTACTTCTGTTAGCCCTTTTCGAAATGCGTATGTTGTTTTTAGCAAAGGAAGCGTAAGGTATATACATCTATAATTTTGTCTCTGCTGCGGCCACCCAAATGAGAGATCGCTCAAGATTATGTGCATTTTTTTTGGGGGGGGGGTCTGTCCTATTACCTGTAACAGTCAGACTAAACAAAATCATCACCATTTTTAGAGAAAGGCCTGCAACGGAACCATCATCCACTGCCCACCGGAGGGCGCCTCAGGGGTGTCGCCAGTTCCGCCAGACATCCCATGAAATCACAAGAAAAGCTGTGGCGCCATGGGTCAATCCTCAATACTGTAAATTGCAAGAATATGATGAGATTGCTGTTTTAGGTGAGGGTAGTTTGCGGGTATTGAATTTGCGGAGTTCCATACATTGCAGCGCAGTCCGAGTCCAGTCCAACATATGTTGCTATGAGATGCCCGGGGTGGTGCATACGGTATGGCCGGCACCGAGACAATCCATGGAATGTATGGTACATACGTTGGGATCGTTGACCCGGAGTCAATGTAGGCAAGATATGGCAGTCCCATTAGTCAAGAGGTGTCCCTCAACCCACTAGGGAAGGTCCGAATGTGAAGCAGTTCGTGGGGTTCTCTCGCGCTTCGAGATCGATGCGATTCCATCCGTCCAGAGGACTGGTCTTGGAGCTGTTCGGGTGATAACTCTTCATGATGTTGGGCCCTTTGTTGCGCTAGAGCTGAAGAAGCTTGGAACAACCAGCACCCTCCAACAGGTCTCCGTCTTGAAGAGGTCTCAATTGGTGAGGCACTAAGGGTGCTGGTTATTGCGTTTAGGGTTGCCAGGTTTGCCTGGGTCGTTTGATGAGAGAAAAGGACCAGTTTCAAGGGACCGGGATGAATGTATAGGGAAGCATTTCTTTGTATTTCCAATCTGAACAAAAGCTATAGAATGATGAGGTGCCCTAGTTTTTATTTTTTGCTTGGATAGCGGCCTCATCGGGTATTCATCATCCTCACAATCATATATAAGTTCCACTATAACATATAATCATTCTTGCTAGGCAAACCACTTTTTGCCCCGAAGAGCTCCATGTTCGATTGCTCATAGCAGCTCAGCTCCAGCTAGCAGCTCCAGCTCCAGCTACTCCAGCTCAGCTGCCAGGACTGCCAAAAGAAGCTCTGGCGCGTCGATAAGTCGGCGAATGCCACGGTCTATGAGCGTCACATGTGGGTCCGGAGAGCCTCCGCGCAAGGGCGGCGCCCGACGCGGCGGAGGTTTATCCACGGGGTGGAGGGAGCAGAGTCTCAGAGGTGTTTCGAAAGGATCCGAGTCAGAGGTTCTTATATAGGGTGTGTTCTACATGAACAGTTCGTTGAAATGGCTCAGGATGGTCGACGCCAAGTTCCACCGATGATAATTTTCTTTCAACATGACAGCGATTTCATTCATGACGATGATTGCATTCATGTTTGAATCCTGCCGTCGCGCGTCAACAGTTTTCCACATGAGTGTTATGTGTTTTTCGTCGAATGGCCGGAGGACACCTCAGTGTTTTCTGAACGTTTTAGTGATTGCTAATTAATATTGGGCAATCCGGCAATGTGAAAGAGCCACACCCACAGGTCATTTTTGTCGACACTGAATTGATTTGTTGAACGGGCTTGATGTTTCCTTCGCCCTTTGCAGAAAGGATCCCCAGCCGTCGAGCCCCAAACAAGCTACGCTTTGCGACGGACCAGTCGTCAAGACAACGACAGTGAAAAAACCTTCTCTCAACCAGTGCCTACCAGATATGTATGATCAAATCAATCATTCCCAGAGCATCCATAGAAGCGGATTTTGTACACAATCACATACAATATCACATAAATTTACCCCATGTATGCTGTATGACTATGGCCCATCCATATCATCCATGTAGGTAATCAATTCCAGTCCCATGGATGGTGAAATATTGGTTGGACTCAGTCCCACATGCCAAATCCACCAAAACGCGCCTTCTCACCAACAGCGTGGGCTCGACAGCGTTGGCTTGTCAGTGTGCCAGGCTCTACTGGGTTTGAACCATGCAGTGCGCGTGCAACCCACAGTAGAGCTCATGGCCTCTTGGGTCGAATGGGACAGGGCCTCAAACCAGCGAAGGATGTGGGGACCGGGGTAGGTCAAGGCTGTGGGATCCGAAGGACCCCACAGCCTTGGAGCCGATCACGTAAATACCATCCGATCGCATGCCGACGTTCATCACTCCCACGACTTGGCACGAACCAAGAAATCCACTGTGGGTTGAGCACAGTGATTCCTGGTTTGGGTTGAAAAGGGCAGGATGGGTGCCATCTCTTTCCATGCTGATCTGTCCCGGCCATCGGTGAGGCCAGATCAACATTGCTCTAGTTGTTGCTGGAATAAAAACAGGTCACCAATTGAAACTTGCAACAGGGCCCTTCCCAACCCTCCATGCTGAGATTTGTTGGAAGATGCTGGTAGTTGTTGCTGGAAGGTCTTCGACTCTCCGCCCTGACAAGACGAGACTCGATCCGCATCCATCGGTCGGTTGGGTCTCGTGCCGACCGCAGTCTCGGCCGCAGTCTCGGCAGCCTCGTCTTGATCGATGTCCTCGGTGAACCGATTTGGGTGTGTAGTTTTATAGGGAGACAGGAGTCAGACACTGAAGTCACTGAAGCAAGGAGACACTGAAGCATCGATTTTCCTGAAAACCGAACCGAGGTCGATGCACAACACGCCAAACAGAGGTCTCCCATGTCTGGTTTGGCTACCCATGTGGACAACCCTTTGACCCATCGAAAGCCACCCAAAACTGGGAAGTGACATGAAGTGGCAATTCTGCAATATACCACACCCACCTGTCCCACCTCCTCAGCTTCGGTGCTATGAAGACCCCCACCCCACGGACCTCCTCAGCTCCAGATCCCACCCGCATCCACCCACCGAACCTGGGAGTGTGGGACATGAGATCGATGCGATCCGAGTGAAAGACCACCTTTGGACCGGAGTGAAAAACCACTCATATAGAGTCTGCCAGATAGGCCAGTAAAAGATATAGTAAAATCATGTTCCACATGCATTGGATACTGTTTCTATAAGGGATCTCTATACCCTAGACTTCCAAGACCATTGAAAAAAATGGTTGACCTGGTTTTTGTAGTATAAAATCCTTGGTTGATTCGGGGTGGTTGGAAGCCTAGGGTATATTAACCTGGATCTTCAAACGGCACAAATTTTTGCCGGGGGCATTTTTTGGTGAAAAGACGCCGTAATCAAAAAAAAAATGCCGTTTTTTGGGTTGTACAAAATCCATGGACGGGGAAAGACGCCGTTTGGACGCCCA